CTCTCACATAATGCACAAAATTAATTTCTAGTTTGACAGTAAAATGTTTAATAGATATATCAGTTTTATGATATCTTTTTTCTTTTTGGATCACATCCAGTGATATCCAGGGGTTACTCCTGGCTTTTCACTCAGAAATTACTCCTGGTGGTGCTTCGGGGACCATATGGAATGCTGGGGATTGAACCTGAACGCATGCAAGGCAAATGTCCTCTCTGCTGGACTATCGCTCTGGCCCCCAATTTTATGATATCTTGACAGGAGCTTTCTTAATTCATATGAACTAATAGAAGTTAGTTTCAGAAAGACACTGGCAAGCATGGATAATTTTCATGTAATGCCTTGAAAGTGGCTATTTTTCCTCATAGTATTTATTTTCCTACCTCCTTTCCCCATTGCTTACAATTGTTTGCCATGACATAATTGTTAATTCATTAATGATAACCATCAAATATAAAGATATAATTGATCAAAGGAAGGATTTAAAATTGGTGTACATGCTAGGAAAACTCATCTTATCAACATATTTGCTTTTGATTAATCCAATATTAAAATATCACATAATTTAAACAAATTTCTGGGTTTCTCTCAATAAATCAGTTTTTTTAATAATGATATAAATTTGGGTGGGGAGGGGGATAAGTAAGTGATGATCAGAAGAAAATAGAGGCTTCACCTGAGTCTCAGTCAACCAAGCCAATGGTTCAATGCAAGAACCTGGGGTCCTGTAGTGTCAGGGATACCCAGGCCACCCTGCAGTGCTGGGGTTCTCCAAGGCTTATCTGGTGGTGTTCAGGAGCCTCCAGGGCTGTGTAGCTGGTGATGCTGGTGGACTATGTGGTAACATAATCAAAGCAAACCCCTGTGGTTATCTTCAGGCTCTTACACTTTTTTTTTTGTGGCTAGAACCTGCTAGAGCAAAATATTAAAATACTTTGTTTAAAAAAGCTCCATCATTCTCCTGTTGCCTATACCCACCCAATTTTACTTCTTAAAGTCTACATGGGTCCTGTGGGCTTGAGAACATGTGTTGATTTTGTTCATTTGGGGACCATACCTGGTGGTGCACGAAGGTTACTCCTGGTTCTATGCTCAAAGGTAACTTTTGGCAGTGCTCAGGGACCATATGAAGAGCTGGGGACAGAAGTAAAGACAGCTGCATGGAAGGCAAGCACCCTACCCACTGTACTATCACTCTGGTCCTAAGAATACATATCTCTTAGATCAGACAAGTGTGGATGGCAGAGGAGGGGTCATGAACATGTGTTTAAAAGCAAGTGTTCAACCAAGGAGGCATATCAAAGTCTTCTACAGGAATTCAGAGATTCTGACTTGTGTTAATTCGTCTAACATTATTACTTTAACATTGTTAATTCACAATTCATTACTTTGAGCGTAGTAAAATTTTCTCCTAGGAGTAAACAAGATTCATAATTTTAAACTCTATATGAAGAGAACTTCCTGTATCTACAAAGTTGCACAATAATCCTGAGACCTTTATTTTTAGTCTTCATTTTTCATAAGGTTTTTCCCTTCCAAAATGTATTACAGAAAGTCAAAATCTATTTTTTTAAAGAAGATTTATTTTTGGATTAAATGATTTCATGATGCAACATGGTTTTAAACAAAAATAGAGATCAGTATGAAAATAAAACAAATTGTACACATTAAAATATCTTTCCCTCAAAGCATTTCAGAATCATAAAAAAATACAACATGAAAGTCAGGGGTTCAGGTAAGGATAAGAATACAGACTTTCCAGAAAAGAAATAACTAGTCTACTCTGAAACAACTTTTTCAGAGTCCAGGATCCATTTAATACCACCCATTAATCAATTCTGGGATGTCAACAATCTGCATTATTTGTTTTTTTTTTTAAAAAATGATAAAATTTAAATATATGGTAAAATGAGAACTTTATCATCTTAATACCAAGAGCAAATACCTCCCATTGTTATTCTCTATCAAATGTCACATTTAATAAAAATGAGTCTTAAGTCAACTTATTAAAACAGAAATATAGCTATTTAGTATTACATCTGGTAAAGAAGACAAAATGAAGTTGGTGAAAAGAAATGGAAAGGCCTAAAAAAAGAACACCATCTGTGCTCTACTGAAATCTTAGAAATAAATATTTTTTATAGAGGCTTAATATTAAAAAGTAAGCATTATTATAAAATTAGATTAACACTTTCAGTAAGAGGCAAGAGAGATGCATGTATATTTTATTCATTTATTTTGGAATGCCTGCATCCCTATTATAAAAACATGTAATCTTATGCACTTTCCAACATAGTAACAGACCCAAATTTTACTTGTGGTATCATATAGAGAAAATAGGTTAAATAGGTTGTATTTAGAGTATTAGGGTCCTAGAAGAACATTCAGTTCTGTATGCTTCCTGGTTAATCCTTCCAAGGCATATCTTGAACATTATCCATCTTGAACTTTATCCATTTTACAGAAGGTGACAATAACCAGAAGTTTACTGATAGTTCCTTACCTGCATCAGTAATAGCTGATTCAGTTTGAATCATATAACATACCTATCAACATTCCTCAGGGTAGTAATATCTTAAGAGAAAATTGGAAAGATATCACTTGCCCAAGGCCACTAGACATAAAAATTCCATATATAAATTTCATTTCCCTGTGTACTCCAGAAATCAAATATACAGGGGCATCCTATTCTAATGAATTTTGATCATGAAATAAACTACTTTTCAAATGAATCTAAGCAGATAAGATTTTTTAATCTTGACTAATTTCCTGAATTGGAAACACTGATTATGTTTCTGTTTGCAATTCAGTAACCTAACTCTTAGGCGTTGCTTTCTTGATTCACAGGGAACATTAGAAACCAGGAAAAAGTCTCAAAAGATATTGTAATGACAAAGAAATCAGCTAAAATAATTATGCATAATGAAAGTCAAGCACCACCCTTTCTTTTATTTTACATATAAAGTTAAGGAATAAAAACAATATTTGAAAGTTAAAAAAACCAACAACATAGCTTAATTCTAAATTGTTGAATCTCCCAATTAAGCTATGGTCTGCTTTAATACTTTTAGGCTAAATTATTTCTGCAATACAGAAAATGTCATACTACTGAAATTATAAAATGAGGACTTTTTTTTAACCAGGAAGATCATCAAGCAGTTGTTGTTCATTAGGCAGCAAGCAATGTATTCTCATCTTCAAGTCAGAAATAAAATTGAAGTTTCTATTTGTAACCTTACTAGCAAGGCTTACAATGGTCCATCCACCTTGTTTTTAACTTTGTCTCTGCCAGTCTTAACCATCACTTTACGCCTGACCCAAATTGCCATGATGGGGGTAGTACACACACTCAATAGTTTTTGTACTAGATCCTTGGAATGGTTACTTGACTGTTGATCAGTAATTATCACTCAATTTCAGGGTGTGACAACCTTTGAGCTCCTCTTTTGGTTTCCAGAACTCATTTAAGTTTGGCATTAGGTCACAGTTCAGAAAGTTTCAATGCATCAGATGTATCTTTGCTTCCATGTTTGCCAAGCAGATCAATCTGGAAAACTACTGAACTAGGGAGGAAGTGGAAGTTTGGCAAAATTTGAGTCTAAATGAAAGTAATATTCTTATCTTTTTACACTCAAATTTTATGTTAGTATGGTATATAACTCCCTGCTAAGTATATTTTCACTCATCACCAAATGAAAGAAAAAAAGGGATCTGAAAGTCATGTTTTGGAGATTAGGCATGTATTCATTTGTGTATTTTAACCATACTTGTTACAGCCATCTTTTAATGATGGCATAGCCTAATTTTACCTGCCTTAGGAAATTCCTGAATCAGGTTAAATTAGAAAATGCTTTGATAGAAGGGGCCAGTTCATACACACAGTCTATGCAGAAAAAAAAATTGGGTAAATATGATGAGGACAAGACAATTAAAGAGAATCCATAGTGGTTCTTTGTTCTACATCATTGGGATTTGGCTTTGAGGAGTTTCTGCAACCTTATTCAAAGTTTAAAAATAAGATAATTCTTCTAGAAATTGGAGGTCTTTTTGATTATCTTAGTTCTAAATGATAGAGAAGATAAAATTTGAATATTATCTAAATCCTTCAAAAGCAACCAAATTTTTCAGTTTTCAATTTCTCACAATGTAGTAAAATGCAAATATTATATCATGGGGAGGTTCCCTCTGAATATACATTCTTATTCATGGCCTTTCCAGACAGTGTCACATTTTAAACATATCTCTTTGAAAAACTGAGAGCTTGGGTAAAAAACGCATCTTGCAAAATTCACTGAAAATGGAGTATACTATTAGAAATATTAGTCTCCACAATTCTCAAATAAAACAGTATGGTAACTATAAAAGCACTAAAACTAATTAATAAAAACCTGCTTCAACCAGATGAGGTTTGATATCTTCTAGTGCACAAAGTATGTGAGGATCAAAAGATATGACATACTCAAAAGCACTTTGAAATTCCCAAACACCATACAGACACATTCTGCCATTTTTGTTTATCAACTGAATGTATTTTTACTACTACTGATTGTTATGAAGGGGGAAAAGATCTGATTATAAATACAACATATGCGTGTGATCACAATTCTTTGATCAAGATTCTTTCATTTTGTCCTGTAAAAAAAAAAGCTTTTGGCCACAATGGTGGGTTGGGCTTAAGGGCTAGTATTTCTTACAGTGAAAACAGAAGGGACATTGTAGGGTAGATGTGGGGAAATGAGAGAAAACTACTAGACTTACTTTTGGAAAGGTTTTGATCATTTGAAGATCCTTGTGTCTCTCCTTCGTGGTTCAGTTCCTTGCCCCTACCCTTTAAATTTTCCTGTGCAAATGCACACAGGGCTTCAACACTTGAGCAGCAAAGAGACACTATTACATGCCATTAGTTTTCAACATAAAGAACATTTATGTTTTGATTCGCCCTGTCTGCCACATGATCTGCATTGGTTCTCTGAAAGATGATATAAGGAGTTCTCTTCTCATGGTGCTGTAAAACATGTAGAACTTTAGAGAAAAAAATCTTTCTGAACTTTATGTGTCTACTACTTTAAGTTGTAAGCTTTTCTTGGGGGGAGGTATTTTATCCTCTGGCTGACACAGAGTAAATGCCAGTAGTATGTGTCTCTCACCTTAGAGATGTTCCACATACATGTATGATGGATGATTCATAATATAAGAAGTATCACTCAGGAATTTCTTAAAGAAAAAAGATCATAAAGTCAAGTTATCTAGGTTCACAGTAGAGAAAAATATTTACGGGTATTCTATTTGTAGAATTTATTAAAGTCTAATTTATTATGTGAAAATATAATTTGATATTTTATATAGTTATTATTGGATCTTGTTTCTCTATTAATAATAGATTAGTTGTCATGATGTTCTGATATGCTAAGTACATCTTTGATTATTTTCAATTTTGTTTATAGCAGCAGCTAAACAATTACAATTATTTAGGGAGGTACCTAATCAAAAAATATATTTTCTAGAAATAAAGAGATACATTTTATGAAATAATGTGAAATATGGAAACAATTCTCAAAAGTAAAACTGAAAACTGATGTGGTCTATGAGTGTAGTTTTGAATGTAACCTTTTATATATTTAGAACTCTGAGGATACAGTTCTAAACAATCTTTAATACCATCAAAAGTATGTGTTTAGAAGTATGTTTTACTTCTTTTTTGTAATGAAAAATACAAATTAAAATAATTTGCAAATAAAATATATATCTATATTCATCATCAGTAAATACAAAGCAACTTTTCCAATTAAATATTTTTTCTCTTTCCTTCTTTTCTTGTCCAATTACACAGATGAGTCTTTGTTTTTTTTAATTCCAGATTTCTGTGAAATTTATTCTCCATAATCTCCTTCCTCACTGTAGTATCCATGAGTGGTGTATTTCTTGAGGGTCTCAATAGTAAACATAATTTAGCCAACAGAGGAGCAATCAGTTCTTACAATCACCTATGAAAACCATGCAGATGCCTCTATACAATGCAAGATTGCAAACATCCCATAATATGAATACCATATATATAATATGGCTACTTAAAAACATAATTTTAAAGAAACATTTGGGCAATAACTGAAAAACCAAATGTTAATTCAATGTTTTTATTACCCATGGTTTAACTTCTCACCACCGAGTGTCTGATTAGTGGTCATGGCCATAAGTTAAGAAATAAACAACAAAGTGGAATAACTCCAGAGCAAGAGAAATGAAGGACATCCTTGGGTAAATTGAAGCAGAAATAACATTAACGATGTCATGCAGTTTTTGAGATACCATAGAAAAGTTGTTTCATAGTATTGATAAGAAAATTATGTACCAGTGAAAATGTAGGCTTAGAAATATAGTAGTGAGAGTTTCAATTTGTGATGTCTTCGCTGATGAGAGAAAATGGAATTCTTATTACTAAAAAGAGCTGATCCTCTTCAGTGTTGCTGATAGCTCCCTAACTGAGTGGAGAGTTTGATGATGCTGTACAAATAAAAAGCCATGGGGGAAATACGAAATATCTGTATTAAATGCCATCCTGTAAAGTATTTGATGGATGGAAGAGAGTCTAATGCATTTTAAATAAATGCATATCATACTATCACATAGAGTGAGTCTTAAAAAATTATTACTTAGATGCACAGTCCTTGAGTGGTAGGCATGGCACTGTGAAGGAAGTTTGATTTAGAAGCTATTTTCTACTTGTCAAGTGATGGAGTGCTGTAAGTCATATTGTAATGTTCCTTCAACTTTGGTACATTCAGTGCAAAATATTTGGGGGGATTTTTTTGTACCTTTATAAAAATAAAAGGCCCTTTTTTTCCCTTGAGAGTGCTTAAGAGGATACATAGTAGCATGATGCCCAAGTAAGCATGAAACATGAAAATGGAACAAATGATACATAAGATATGATAGGTTCTTATATACATCTTAAAGAACATAAATATAATGAACCTATAAAAAATAAACAAAATCACTGTGTACTTTTTCCTGATATGCTGTGATTAATTGCTATTTTTTTAAAAAAAATTGTTACCATGCATTATAAAGCATAAAATCTGTCGTTAGTAATTCAGTGTATAACAGTTTTTCTTCAGCCATAATTACACACAAACCACTTGCATATACATTGTCACAAACCATCTTATTGCAAATCTTTAAAGTTACCTCATATGGACTTGGTTTCATTTTCTCTCATGTCCCATGAAAGCTGAAACCTATGATGCACACCATGCAGGCACTCATAAGCAAGAAAATGAATATTCTCTTATAACTTAGGGAGGACTTAAATGAATGTACTTTCAGGAAATATATTTGCTTTTATTATATTATTTAACTTGCACTAATTTGTAGGTGGGGCCAAGTGCTGCCAGTTTAGCTTGAACCATGTTCAAAGGTAAGTTTCGATCCTGAGTCTCTAAAAGTTACCATGGAGCTGATCATATGTAGGTTCATCTTTGCCTTGGATCCTAACAAATGGAAAAAGTTTGGCAGTCAAGAACTATTGATTGAAAGACGGTTGGGTTGTTCCCTGAGCATCAAGCTCACCCAAATCCTTTCAAGAGGACTCATCATCACTCTCTAGTCCCCAAATGTGACAGAGCCTGTGTTTCTGGAAAATAACAGCACTCAGCTTTCCTGTCATGGAAACGTGCTCTTGAAATTTCCAATGTTCAGTCATTCTTCAAGAGAGCAGCTTCTGAAATTTCCTGTGCATGACTTGCTGGGCATTGTTCTTCCAGATCACTCAAGTCCAAAGGTACTGGTCTCTTCAACTGCTGTCAAGAGTTTTTCATAAAGCATGGAGAAGGATGGGTATGGGGGAAGATCCAAACGGTTGAAACACGTATGAGCTCTGCAGACAGAAGATGCAGTACATAAAATTAGCTTTGGGTGAAGTGAAATTAATGAATGTGTGTACATTCTCACCTTTCATATTAAAATGGAAAATTGTTGCCAATCTTTACAATCCTATTGGAAAAATTACAAAAACATTTTACTTAAAAAATTTAGAACCAGGGCCAGAGTGATAGTACAGCGGGTAGGGTGTTTGCCTTGCACATAGCCGACCAGAGTTCAATTTCTGGCATCCTATATGGTCCCCTGAGCACACCAAGAGTAGCACTGTAGCACTGCAGCACTGTCCTCCTGTTGTTCATTAATTTGCTCGAGCGGGCCCAGTAACGTCTCCATTGTGAGACTTGTTACTGTGTTTGGCATATTGAATACGTCACGGATAGCTTGTTAGGCTTTGCTGTACAGGCAAGATACTCTTGGTAGCTTGCCAGGCTCTCCAAGAGCGGTGGAGAAACAGAACCTGGGTCGGCCGTGTGCAAGGCAGATGCCCTACCTGCTGTGCTATCGCTCCAGCCCATACCAGGAGTAATTCTTGAGTATAGAGCCAGGAATAACTTCTGAGCATTATTGGGTGTGACCCAAAAAGCCAAAAAAAAAATTAGAACTAAATTTCACTAATGAGAATGTGATATTTAAAAATATGGGGGTGGGAGCTAGAGAGATGGTGCAGAATTAAGGCATTTGTCTCACATACAGCGGTGGTCACAATGGTTCAAATTCCAACAATGCAGGTAGTCCCTGGGCACTGCCAAGAGTGCCCTTTAGCATAGAGCTAAGAGTGGCACCTGGGCGCACTACCAGGTATGACTCACCCACAAAAATATTTTGGGCTGAGTACGTACCTCATTTTTCATGTATGATGCCCTGATAAAGCACATATTTTTCATGTGTGATATTCTGAATTTGATTATTGGAGCCAACACATTAAGAAATATTTTCCTTATGTTGGGGCTGGAGTGATAGCACAGAGGGTAGGGCGTTTGCCTTGCACACAGCTGACCCAGGTTCGATTCCCAGCATCCCATATGGTCCCCCTTAGCACCACCAGGAGTGGTTCCTGAGTGCAGAGCCAGGAGTAAACCCTGAGAATCGTCGGGGTATGACCCAAAAAAAAGATTTTCCTTATATTTTCACAGCCTTTTAAAAATTCATATTACATATGCTACTATTTGTTTAGTTGTCGAAGAATTATAAAGGTGAGGTTTTTGTTTCTCTTGATGCAGTTGGGTTTTTTTCCTAAAGAAATGATCACAGAGTTCTGATATATAGCACAGGGACTTAGACACTTGCCTTACAAGGGGCCAACCCCAGATAGATCCCCGGCACCACATAGTCCCACGAGCACTGCCAATACTGATTCCCTAAGTACTGAGTCAGGAAGAGCTTATGTGTACTGCTGGGTGAGATTCAAAAAACCTCCTCCCAAGTAATTAATAATAAATTTTATTTTTAAAAGCATGAATATAAGTACTAAAAGAGAAATCCCTTTTCATAGTTAGCGTGTGTCTGGAGACCTTTAAAATAATCGATGGTGCTGCATATTTTTTTTATTCAGGGAGATTGCTGGCAAGCACACCTAGTGTCTCCGAGGACCTTCTTCGTGCCTCGGTATCTTGGGAAATTCCCTGGCTGGCCTTTCCGGCTGAAGTCAGAAGGCCATTGTTACTTCTTTGAATTCTAGGCTATAATCTGTTTTCTCCTAACCCACATGTAAAATAATAGCCACTTAAATCATTACATTAAGAATTCTTTTTAGAAATACCTCCCACTTGCCAAGACAGGAAAAAAATATGTTTTCCTGTTATTTGCACCTGAGTCACAATAATAATAATAATAAAGACAGTCCCCAAATAGTACATCTTATCAGGAAACAAATCTGCACTTTTGACATGGAATAGGAAGCATTTTATTCTGAATGTACAACAGCTTGTTTGTGGAAGCTGAACAACTTTGATTTTAAGAAAAGCCTCCTAGGTCAGAAACCCAGTGCAGCGGGCAGGGTGTTTGCCTTGTATGCTACAAATCCTAATTAAATCTCTAGCACCCATCATGGTGCCCAGAGGGATTCCTGAGCACGAAACCAGATATAAGGCCTGAGCACTTCCAGGTATGCCTCCCCAAACCATAATTAAATGAATGCTTCAAAAATGACAAGATTTGATTAAAAAAAAAAGCAAAGAAAAGGCTCCTGAATTAATAGGGAATTTTAGCAAATACAATTAACAGGTTATTTCTGCAAGCAACATGCTAATTTTTAATTTTTATAAATGACATTTTTACTTATTGAAGTAAATGTGATGATATATGAAGTTGCAGTGAATGTAGTGGGGAGATCGGAGGTTGAGAGTTGGCCGGCTCTGGGTTTGCATGACAGCTCTATCAACCAGCAGTATAATTCAGTGAGTGATTGAAAATATTAGCAGTCTGAGAAGGCTACAAAGATATTCTTAATAAATTCTTGGTCCACAGAACTGAACCAATTCATAAGAGATAAATTATTAGTTACACCTTCTTTATCAAAAATATCTACTCTAAATTATTTCATTAAACCTGGAAACTAAGAGTATCAGAGATAAAAAAGCAGGTTTTTAGGCCACATCTCTTCCTGGAATCAGTAATGTCATTATAGTGTTAAAAGACTATCAGTTTTAGGACACAGCTATAGTATTGACTTAAAATTTACTACACTTGTTATTACAAACTTTGGGGTATATTGAGGGAGATAATCTAATTGACTTATGATGACCATTTTTTGATGTCATAAATTTCAAAACTGAATATACTTATATAACTTCTTTGTGTAGAATTTCAACTTGATTCTGAAAGAAATAGTTTTACTTTCTAGAAAACCTAATGAGGATCTTGAAAACTCTCCCAGGAATGGTTTAGAATCTATCTTTCATAAAACACTGGAATTAAATAATAAATGGAGATTTTATCTCTCTCCTGAGAAAAGGAGAGGAGGAAGCAAATAAGGAAAACGTTTTTAAAATAATTTGAAACTTTGTGGGTGTATACACAATACCTATCATCCCATTAGACTAAAAAAGTGGGCCTATATCCGATAAAGTTTTTTTTTTCTTTTTGGGTCACACCCGGCAATGCACAGGGGTTACTCCTGGCTCTGCGCTCAGGAATTACCCCTGGCGGTGCTCAGGGGACCATATGGAATGCTGGGAACTGAACCAGGGTCGGCCACGTGCAAGGCAAATGCCCTACCCAATAAAGTTTTAAATTTCTGCTGTTTCCAGCAAGGTTGCGCATCTTTCCCTAAGTATGACTGCATGTCAAATTTCCTACTTTTGTGATAATGCTTAATCATTTTCATTATAACTTAATCTTTTCTTTCTTCCTATCTTTGGGGGAGTGGTAGGGCAGTGTTGATGACAGAATACAGTGCTTCACACATGCAAAGCAGAATTTTACCAGAGTTATATTTGTTACTCCTTATTTTTTCTCAAAATTTTTTATTATGATAAAATATATATCGCATAAAAGTATCATATTTGATATTTGTATTAGCACAGTTCTGTGAGAAATATGTCCAAATTGTTTTACAACCATTGGCACTATCTAGTCTCAGAATTTTTTTTCATACTTACAAACTTTATTCACTGATCACTAATCCCAGCCTCCTCCAAACACACACATGTACACTGTTCACAGAGACAGAGACACACACACACACGACTTAACTTTCTCTCTGTGAATTGGACTATTCTAGCTAGGTATTCCCTTTTCATTTTTTGGGTCATACCTGGAGGTGCTGAGGACTTACTCCTAGCTATGTGTTTAGGGGTTACTCCTGGCCATGCTCAGGGGGTGACATGCATTGTGGTTTTGCTGGGGATCAAACCAGGGTTAGTCAAGTATGGGACAAGCACCTTAACACCTATATTATCTCTCCGGTCTCTAGGTATTTCATTTAAGTGGAATCATACAAAATTTGTCCTTTGTGATTGACTTATTTCACCTAATATAATATTTTCTATGCTTGTATTAATTGTGGATCAAAATTTTTTAACAGCAAAATTATATTTCATTGTATATATACAGTATTTTGTTATGTATAAACCAAAAAAATTTTGTTATATTTTGTTAATCCATTTATGAACTGACTGACACCTGAGTTGCATCCATTTTTTGACAAATGATACTCTTACTATTGTTGTTAGACAAGTATGTATTTGTTTTGCTGCTTTCAGTTACCTTAGGTTTATATCAGGAAGTAAAATGGTAATTCTCCTTTCAATTTCCTGAGGAACTGCAACACTGCTTTCTACAGCAGCTGCACCATTTTACATTTCCAAAAAGAGTGCACATAGGTTCTAATTTCTTCACATCCTCATCAGCATGTGCTACTGTTTTGTTTTAGTAACAGCCATCCTCATGAATATAAAGTCCATTTGCTATTTAAAGTCTTAGGAGTTCAGGGTAGAGTTCAGCTCAAAGTACCCTGGTGACCCAAATATCACCACATACTTGGTCTGGAACATCTGGTACACACAACCAAAACCAAGCTGAGTATCACTTGGTGTGTCCCTCAGTTCCCCTCCCCACCTGCATCACCCCCCTGCATCACCCCCTGCAAAAGTCTTAGGATTTCCTTGGGGCTGGAGAGATAGCAGAGTGGGTAGGTAATTTGCCTTGCACGCGGCCGACCCGGGTTCTTTTCCCAGCATCCCATATGGTCCCCTGAGCACCGCAAGGAGTAACTCCTGAGTGCAGAGCCAGGAGTAAACCCCGTGCATCGTCAGGTGTGACCCAAAAAGGGGGGGAAAAAGTCTTAGGATTTCCAGGAATTACTACTTGTGGTGCTTGGGGCACCATATGCAGTGTTGGAGGTCACTGTGGTGGGGAGTTCACTTGAAAGACTGGTGCCCTATCAGCTGTATTATCTCTCTTTGACCCCAAATAACTTTTATTAGCCTCACTAATCTCTTTCAGTGTCTTTGGTTTTTCAATTAGTTACATATGCTAATTACAGAGCTGTAGTAA